TATGCATGCAAAGATTTAAGAATTCTTTGGTAAAAATTGCCACCATGGATGATTATATAAGCATGGGATTTACTATAAAATTTGGGTAAGAAGTTGTTAGTTAAATTGCTGCCATGTATACATGCAATTAAGTGAATTAGGTTTGAATGGTTGCTAGGAAGCGTATAAGTAGAGGAAGTGCACTGGGGTGGAGTGGTGGATGAGATAACCGGTGATCGGCACGTAGTATTAGTTATTTGCATACCCGTATTAATAGGGACGTAGTGTCCCGCTATTGTGAGGTGAGTAGGAGGTGTCCATTTTAAAAATTCTCATAATTATGTGAATATATATAAATATGTGTTGATTTATTTTAATGAAAAATTAAGGAAAGCATGAGTTGGTAGAAATGTTAGGAAATTGTGGATGTTCTGACTTTGAAAATGGTTTTGAATATATATAAGCTATATATATATATATACGTAAAGGTTCTTAAAATTAGAAAATGAGTTTTTTTTTAATATGATTTATGTCAAGTATGTGCCTTATAGTTTGTGTGATGTGCATCCATGATTAAAACACATATCCACCATACTAAATGATCTTTCAACCTCATGCAAAAACTTATATTCGAAAGTCTTATAAGGGATTTTATCATGTTACTAAGTGAATATTTTGGAAATGATTTTGAAATGAAATTTTGAAAACCCAACTATATTTTAAAATAGTTCTATCAAACCGAGAGATTCGAGAGTAGGTCGATTGTCACTTCGGTTAAGTGTGACCCTTATGCATAAGTGAGCTCTAACTAGAGAACCTTAGAGTCACCGACAGGCTATTAGACTTGGCTGGGGCCATGGTCTGTGATTGTTGTGGCTAGACCACTAGTAATATATGCGGTTGCGACTGCCTGATTTCTTTGATGTCGGCCAACATCGTTGAGACTGCCATGGCATGTGGGGATCCGGTTGAACGGAGCTCCCGGATGTTATTACGTGGAAGCGGGTCTACATGCTCTTTATTTCTACACCTACTCGAGAGTGATATCTCTTTGGGTTTTTTGCGTAAGTAATTTTTTCATGGTGAAAAATAATAGTTTTTCTATTGCTCCCTTACTTATACGATGAAATTTAATTTAATTCTTTGCGTACGAGATGATTTATGAATTTGCACATAAGCTTTGTAAAATGTTAGATTTTACGGGAGCATGCGTGATGACATTAAATTACTTTAAATCAAATGTTAAGTGATTTCGATAGTAGGAATCTTTCCATGACTTGGGTTGATATTTGATTTAAATGATTATTTAGCATAAACTTACTTAATTTCATATAAGGCACAAACTTCCTTTTTCGAGTAAATTGTTTACAAATATTCTTATATTTTTAATATTCAAATCTTTTGGGTTTAGCTTGTTTCCCATCATGCCCTACTCACGGAATTGATGATCACTGAGTTTATGAGACTCACCCCCTTTATTTCCTTTTGCAGATAAGTAATCAGTTCAAGTGCATTGTTCAGCACTTCGAAACTGATTACAATCTAGGTTATGGCATCTCTTAGACTTCCAATCCGAGTTGCTCCATTGCCTAGAGGTCAGGTTTTGTCAAATAGTCAGGCTTATAATGATTAATAGTTTATTGGAAATGTATTTGCTAAAACTTAAGGTTATGTAATGAGTACTACATATTACGTTGAAATTGTATGGAATTATCAAACCTGGTTATTAGTATCTAGATACCACGATTTAAATATTGTGATTATTTAGTTTAAATGAATTATGGTGTTAAATTCTAAGTTGAGTTTAAATTGTTTGAAGGCTTAACTAAGGCTTGTTCGAGATTTGGCGGGTTCACTCGTAAGTATCGGACGTCAGTAACGATCGAGGGAAGAGGTCGTTACATCTAAATTATCATTCAGTTTAGCTTGTCATCCATAAAGTGATGTCAAACAGAAACAGTTAACCATGTTTTCGAGATGTATCTTTGATGTTTACAGGAAACCGTCCATGTCAGTGGACAAATTGGGTATCTTGGAATGAATATAGCGACAACACTAGTTACTATTTTTCTTTGAAAACCACTCCCTTTGAAGTAGTTTATGGCCATTCCCTACCTTGTTTGCTCTCTTATTGTTTAAGTCTAGCACAAGTGGCAGCAGTTGATATTGAATTTTAGAATAGAAACTTACTTTTGCATGATTTTTGAGAACGTTTCTTATAGGTCAAACTATCATGAGGAAATCCTACAATGCTTAACATCGAGAAATCTAGTTTTGAGGAAGGTATATGGTCCTTTTAAAACTTCAACCTTATCGACTACTATCCTTTGCCTCCAAAAGTAATTGCAAATTATCTCCCCATTTGTATGGCCTCTTTCCCATCACAATTAAAATTGGCTCTGTGGCTTATAGCCTTTTTCTTCCACTAGAAACTAAAATACACCTAGTATTTCATGTATTCTATTTAAAGAAATTCTATGGCCCCAACACTAGTACACTACAATTGCCTGTAGTTCACAAAGGTGAAATACAACTTACACTTAAAGCTAACTTAGACTTGCGCACTCTTGTAGGCACTTCATAAGTCCTCATTCATCATCGAGATGGCCTTTCCTCGGCTAAGGCATCATGGGAGCCTATTTCTACAATTCTAAGTCATTACCCATCTTTTGCACTCAAGGTCAAGTGCATTCTTGGTGGGGAAAGTAATGTTAAAGGCCAACAGCAAGACCAACAACTAAGTGGGCCTGACTCAGTCAAAGTGGTTCCCTTTGACCAGATTTACAAACGTTTTTCACATTGGAAAAAGAAGAGAAAAGAATAGTTGTCAATTAATGTATTAGCTGTCATTCTATTTTAAATTATTGTGGAGGCAATTTGGCATTATCTATCATTCTATTTTAAATTATTGTGGAGTCAGTTTTGCATTATCTACATATTCCTAAATAGTTAGAGTCAGTTGCTTTTTAATAGAAATAAGTTGCTATTAATAGGAGTCAGTTATGATCAATCATGCTTATAATCTAGTTTAAAATGGGAATTAAGAGGAAGAATAAAGCAAATATTATTTTCTAATCAAATTTTCAATTCTAAGATCGAAGAGTTCTCTCTAACGAGCTTTTATTTTTTAGTTTTCCAAAATAGGTCTAAAAGGTAAAAAAACTCGTAAACATAATTTGCAAGCTGAGTTGCTTTTCGATTTCACATTACAAGGTCCCATAACCAAATCATAGTCAAGGCCCTGTAATAGTGGTTTCACAAAATCCTTGTTATGATTGTGTTGAGCAAACCATTTCTTCAATGTTTCCCATATCTCAGAAGTAGTATCTATAAAGAAGATAAATGATGATCAAAGTAGTGAATGTAATAAAGAGAAATTGACATCGAAGAACAAATTTAGAATTGAAAAAATAAATTCTGATTTCTATTCAGTGAATCAAGTAAGAAAATCAAGCAATTGAATCAAGATATCATACGAAAGAATATACTATTATGGCTCTAATACCATATTAAAATCTTGGAAAAAAAAAGATTTCGATGATTCAAGAATTAAGAAGAAGAAAGATAGTTTTGAAAATTTGGTTGTATTTCCATCATATGAAAAACTTTATTACAAAGGTTATTATATACATTCTCCAAAAAGGGTACAAAAAGTAAGTCTAATTACAAGAAAACCTTCCAACTAACTAATTGACTACTACTAACATAACTACAAAATTAACCTTGCAACTAATGAATAATTACATGCTCATCATATCTAAAACATGTGCCTTGCTCTTCAAATCAAGTAACACAGATTCAACCATGACTCTTGTAATATTAACCAACTAACTAAATTATTATTATTTTTCTCTTTTTTAGCCAACAATTGGACGAAGAGAGTTGGTGTCCAACAAAGACTATCATAGAATAGGTGGTAGTTGAATTCAATATCTCTCGAAAATAGCAACGAATCAAAGAAAAAAAATATAAATACAATTCTCAATGTCAAATGTTTATAATCAAAACCTAAATAATATATAGTTTCACCGACTTAGGGTTTAAGCTCGTAAACAATAAAAAGTCACTTAAATAACAAATACACTAAATCCTATTTCATTCCTTCCTAGAACTTACTAGAATGTTGTCCATCACTAAATCTACGACCTCCACTTAAATTACTTCACCTTTATTACATAAGTCCAAGTAGCAATATCATACTATTGCACAAATACTACGTTTTCATCTTAATTAACTTCAACATAAATTTAAATATAGAGATAATTTACCATTTTCTTTAGAGTGATGGCCAAATTCACCACTTATTTTTGAATAATTTTAATTTTAAAATTATATATTTTTTAATTTTGTTAAGAAATGGTCAAATTTTAATGGTAAAAGAATATTTGGTAGGGAAATGAACACAAAATGTTCTAACTTTTAACCATATTTGAATCAAATTAATAGAATGCAAGGGTACAACTGCATTCATTGAAAAATATATGGCACAATTGATATATTACCTCAAGTAAAATGGCAAATTCAGATTTTACACAAAATTGTTTTGGACTCGCTCACTCTGCCCGTCATTAAGCTGCACCTGAGCCCGCCCAAGCGTAGTCTATGGAAAAAGTCCTTGAAATTGCAGAGTTGCATGCATAGCAGTAGCTCGAGGCATTCACAAGATAAGAACATGGAAGCACACAACCGCAGCAAAGAACCAGACTGCCAAACCTTCCATTCATAGCTCGAACAATGCTTTCCTTTCATCTTTAGAAATGTTCATCCATCCAATACCCTTCTTGGGAGTCCCTCGTAATGTCATCATTCTCTCGCCTTTTCCGCCTTTTGGGCAACACCCGAAGCATTCGCAATGGCATAGCACTCCACGCCAAGATCATCACGTCGAAAATATCACGAGATATTTACACAAACAATCATTTGCTGGCGCTGTACGTAAAATTCAACCGCCTTGTTGACGCACGTAAAGTATTTGAAGGAATGCCCGAAAGAAACGTCATTTCGTGGACGGCGTTGATTTCGGGATATTCTCAAATGGGTATGGCGGAAAAGGCCCTGGATTGCTTGAGTTTGATGGCTACTGATGGTTTGGAGCCAAACTATTATACTTTTGTCAGTGCTGTTTCGGCTTGTGCTAGTTTAGGTGATGGTAGAGTTGGTAAGGAAGTTCATGGACGGATTTATCGGAGTGGGGTGGATTTTAGTACACCTGTTTGTAATAGTTTGATTAATATGTATGGAAAATGTGGGTTGTTGAAGTCAGCTCAGCTGGTATTTGATGCTATGTTGGAGCCGAATTTGATTTCTTGGACTTCACTTCTTTCTTGTTACTGTCAACAGGGAGAAAACATGAAAAGTTTGAAGATTTTCGTGCAGTCAAGAAGGGTGGGTGTGAGAGTTAATGAGTTTACTTGTGCAAGTGTGTTGAGTGTGTGTGCAGGGTTGGAAGACTTGAAGGCTGGAATGCAAATACATGGCTTGGTGGTCAAATGTGGACTTGAGTTTGACAAATTTGTTGAGACGGGATTGATAAGTTTTTATACAAAGTGTGGAGAGTTGATTTTGGCTGGTCAGGTGTTTTTGGAGGCAAATCAGTCAAACGTGGCAGCTTGGACTTCATTAGTTGGAGGGTATGTCCAACAAGGCAGGAGAGGAGAAGCTATTGATCTTTTTCTTAAGCTACACTCTTCAGGGATCAGGCCTAGTGAAAGAACATTCTCTTCTGTACTTGGAGCTTGTGCTGATGCAGAAGTTATTGAAGTTGGGAAGCAGTTTCACTCTTTGATCACTAAAATGGGATATGGTTCATTTATATATGTCGGAAATGCAGTTCTGGACTTTTACTCAAAATGTGGGCTTCTTCAGGAATCATTGAGAACTTTTGAAGATATGGATGAGCATGATATAGTCTCATGGAATTCTTTGATCTCTGGGCATGTTGGGTCAGGTCAATATGAGGATGCCATTAAACTCCTAAAAGATATGTTATTTCAAGGATATAAACCCAATCTTTACACATATTCTAGCATTTTGAGTATTTGTAGTGATGTCCCAGCTATTGAATGGGGAAAGCAGACACATTGCTGTATTATAAAACCTGAATTTGATTCTAATGTCGTCGTTGGAAGTGCCCTCATAGATATGTATGCAAAGTGTGGGGTACTGAATGCTGCTCGAAATGTTTTTGATTATCTAGCTTCAAAAAATTTGGTTTCTTGGAATACTATGCTTGTAGGATATGCTCAACATGGATTTGCGAGAGAAGCACTGGAGATCTATTGCATGATGCAGAGAGATGATGTCAAACCTAATGATGTTACATTCATTGGGGTATTATCTGCCTGTGCACATGCAGGTCTCTCAGAGGAGGGATTGCACTACTATAATTCCATGATCAGGGATCACAGTATTGCTCCAAAGATGGAGCATCTAGCTTCTATTGTCAATCTTCTTGCTCGTAAAGGGGCAACTAGAAGAGCTTATGATTTTATTAGGAGTTTCCCTGCAGAGCCAAGCAAGGTGGTCTGGCGATGTCTTTTGTCAGGCTGCAAATCTCACAAGGACCTAGTCTTAGGAAGATTTGCTGCAGAGAAAATTTTGAGTATTGATCCGGAAGATACTTCAGCATATATTATGCTATCGAACATTTATGCAGAGGCCAAAATGTGGGATGAAACAGCACAATTGAGAAAAATTATGACGGAGAAAGCAATGAAGAAAGATACAGGATATACCTGGATTGAATTGAAGAACAAGGTGTATTCTTTTTCTGCAAGTCATTCTACAAAATTTCAAGGAATTGACCTAACTGAAGTTTTGAAACAATTGACACTCCATTTGTTCAATGCAGGATATTTGCCTGATGATTTGTTATGTTTTCACAGTGAGAAGTGAGCTGAGGATGTGAATGGATAAAAGTTTATTGGTACAGCATTATTTCGTTCTGTCAGCTGTATGTTATATGTGGTATATGTGGATGCATGCGAGTCATATATCAGGAAAAGAGGGCAAAACACCTGAAAGCTGAGATCTTTCATGAATTGTACCTTCAAACAATACTACTACAAGAATTCTCAACTAGACAAAACATTGACTTATCAGAAGCAAAAAATATTGCCCAAATCTGGTGTCATCATTCCATACAGAATGATGCAAATGAAGTGACAGAACGGAGTCCGTAAATTTTTCATAATATGCCATGGTAATTGAATATGAAGTTTCACTGGCGAGAAGTTTTGAAGTTGAGGGCAGCAGCATCACCGGGTGTGAGATTCATATACTCTTAGTTTCAAGGGGTAGTCTGCAATGCCCCCAATTCTCGGTCCTGCACCTGTTGTCCATTTTGAAGATAGTTGGTGCTGTAACTAGCACGAACTTGCTTCCTTTTTTGATTTGATCCTCTGGATGACCTCTTTTTTTGGAGCACTTGGGCTTTGGAGATTTATGGATAGTGTTCACTTATAATTTCATGTTCTTTCAATCTGAGATAAAAGTGATGATTCAAACTGTTGCTTTTTTCTCATTTTTTTCTGCAAGCTTGCAGTTTGGGTGGTTCAGAAGAATTTCGTCTGCTGAATGTGCTTCATTGAACTGTTTTACTGTTTTCATAGCTCTCATGACCTTCTGTTGGGACGGTACCAGAGTAAAGTAGGAACAGTTAGAAGATAGACTAGAAGCAGAATATTTGTCAAATTTTGGTTACACCAATAAGCAATGTTAAAATCTGAACATAAATATATATAGATAAATTTTCATAAAGATCAAAGCCCCATCTCAGCATTCTGTCCAATTTATTTGTTCCCTGGACCCAGTTGCTCTTTTTCATTATAGAATAGTCAATCTGGCCATCTATTTTATGTGACCATATGACATATAAGTTGCATACCTGAACTTCATCAAGGTTTTCTCCACTCTCCTTCAAGAAGTTTAAGCAGCTGCTGAGGTTTTGATTATTTGGGCAATGATATCCCCGATGTGCTTTCAAGGACTGAACAGTCACAACATAAACATGTAAGAGATACTTGCCTTTAGAGCAACCCTACTTAGACTTCTTGTTTATACACTGTATTGATGTACTGTCACCTACATTCAAAATAAAGTTGACTCTTCTTGGTTTATACATGCACAACTTTTATTTTCTTTGCACATTCATATTTCTAAATATGGTTTTGTATTCTAAGTGTTGCTGTTCATTCACTTTTCTTACTGGGAAATGGTTTTAGGCTTCAGGTGAGATCAGGAAGGTAAGCAACCAAATATATTCTTGGGTTTTATAGGATCTTGAGAGTGGGATTTTGTGACTTCAAGGATGAATGGTTCACATTGATCTCATTCTACATAATCAGGTAATTATGTCTCCGTGTTTGAGTTTGCATTCTTTTTAGGTAATTTAAAAGCACATTTTAAGGTTGAGGGCTGTCAGGCTTCTTTTATATACTATAAATTTGTATCATATTTGGTTGCATGGTTAAGATAACAAACCTATACAAGTGCAGCATGAAGATAAATACTATTTCAAACTAAACCGAGCCAAATGCCTCCTCCAGAGGCAGATGATATGGCACCTGTTCTGCAAGCATCTATTTTGAGAATAGTTACCGCCGCATAACTCCCAGGGTTGCCTTATTTTACATAATCTGATAGTAATTTTTCATAAATATGACTAGGTGCAGTTTGTTTCTTTAATCAATTAGAAGGTAAAAACAGAAGATACATTATAAATTCAATGGATAAAAGCTATGTGTTCTAGGTCTAAGAATGTGTATTCTTTTAGTTTGCTAATTAATTACCTTGAAGGTTGGGTATCAGAATCAACGTATCACTTATAACTAGCCTTCATAAGCTAGAGTGGTTATGATCTAGTGCTAATGCATTTTCAGTTCCAGCTAAATGTGTAGGTATTGCCTTATACCTGGAGCTTCCCATCTTCTGCTGTAAGGCTTCCAACTGCCAAAATTGGCCCCTCCAGCTACAAAGCTGGAATGAGGGAAGATCCCCTTCCTTTTCTGATTATAAAAGTAAAGCATCAGCCTTAAGATATTTAAACGTAAAGCAGTGCTGCAACTTAAATAAATTTGTTGGACTAGGTTCAGTACCCATTTCAACTCTCACCTCTCCAGCATAAAGTTTCTTGGAGGTACTCATCACACATCTATTTTAATCTTTGCAGTCCTTGGTTTGTATTGAGAAGATTTCCTGTTTTTTTGTGCAGTGTTGCCCCTGTAACCCTTACATATTTATAGTTTTCCCTCTCTTGCTTATTTTGTGACAACTACCTTACAGAAATAAAACAATAGATCAAAGCTTTCATCAATAGGATCAATGTGGAAGTACACAATTGAAAGGGGTCAAACTTGGAAATTTTCATAAGATTTGACTTTTGTAAATTTAGAATCATTTTCTCCAAACCCCACAAAATACATAGTGCTTGTGCCTCATTTGTTTCAACGCTCAACAAAAATCCGCATTGCTCTTTTCATGCTTCTATTCCATTATATTTTTTGGACTATTCTTTGCATTGTTTCTAATTCCATATGCAAAATAAGATTCTTCTCTTGTTTCTAGGATCATTTTTTTCTCTATGGACTAAGTATTTATTCATTATCTTGTGCTGTATGAATTATTCAATGTAGAATAGTTCCTTATTTTTCTCACTTATATGCCTTTTTTATATTGCAAAGGATATTCTCTTTTTTCTTTTCTTTTGTACAAACTTCACTTGTTGACTTTGTCTATATAAGATGGACCCCGATCAGAATAAAATATTTTATTATACATAAGCAACTACTTAACAACAATATTGTTATATGTTCTGGAAATGTCAAACCAGCACCCAATGGCCCATGCCCAATCAGAATGTTAGTATTAAAGTAAATGAAGTCAAGGGAGACACATGCTGAATCCCCTTATATGGTTTCAGCCTCAATCATGCATAACAAGCAGTAACTTGTTATGGAGGGAAAGCCTTTGGGTAAGTTGCCTTCTGCCTTCTGGGTCACCTCATATTCATCATCAGGACAGTCAGTGGCCTAGAAGGGTGAGAGCTTCTTATAAATGCTTTATATCTGCAATCAATAGATTGATGGTAGGATGTGAATTTAAGAATAAAACAGACCTTACCTTATGAAATTAGCTCAGTTATAATTACAAATTTTAGTTGCAGTAAATCTATATTTCAACAGGCAGAGTAAGAATATATTTATAATATATATAAAACAGAATTAGGTATTCTTGAAACCATCAGCTGCTATAGTTTGTGAAAAAGCAGAAGCAATTTTAACCTTCTTAATTATGTCGCTTGAATGTTGATAATCTCTGGCTTCTTTCTTTTTCCAAATATGTAGAAAGAACCTCTCCAACACCATTTAATTCAAGCCTCAAATTTTCAATAACCAGAAGTAATGACTCAATGCAGGAAATTCTGCTTCACACTCGAGCTTTCATACTCAATCCAATGCTTCCAGCATGGTGAGAACTTTTTCTTTGTAGTTAGCACATGCCTCTGAACAGTTCATATATTAACAAAATAAAAATATATATATATCAAGAGTGATAAATCAAGCAATCTGCAAAGGTAATGAAAATAAATCTTATAATTTGTGTTAGATTTGGGGCTTTGCAGGACCTTATAACATTCAAGAAGTACCACTTAGACCTTTCACTACATTTTCACCAGAGTTTACAGTTTAAAGGGCTAACTTTTCTTGATGCAGGGAAGTGTTTCAAGTTTCATTTCCAACTCCTTTTACTCCTTACGGACCCATGCTAAGACCCAAGCTAATGCTTGCAGCATGTTGAGAGTTTCTTTTTTGTTGCCCATGGATCCAAGTAGTGTTAGAATATGAACAATCACAAAAGAAATGATATTTTTTTATGGAAAGGTCCAGGACAGAGGAACCTTAAGAAAAAACACTTTGAATGCTCCATTGTTGCCATCACTTTATAACAACAATTACTAATTCGACTTGATACAATGAAATCTTTCACATACAGGAACTTGTGTGTTGCTTTCAAGCTCTAGAACAAAACATCTTTGACTCCGGATCAAATCCTTCCAGCTCAATTGCAACTGTACAATGGCTTTCATGCTGTGCACTTCCAAGTTGTAGAATCAACACCTTTGGGTCCTGACCAAATGCTTCAAGCTCAATGACAACTGCTGAATTGCTTTGACATTGTGCAATCCAGACTGGGAGTTCTATATCCAATCTTTCCACATCAGTCAGAGTTTCAGTCTTCAAGTCTTCATTAACAGTAAGTACATTCCAAGTTTCTGTCTTCACCTAGATCATTGATATTAAGTTGACCTGATGCTGGAGTATACTTTCAGGTCGAGCATGATGATCAAGCAAATTGACGCCTTCCCCTCCATGAATGGCTCAGGGTAATGATATGCATTTGCTCAATTAGTACTGAATAGAGGATATGCTTTGCTGCTTTGTTTTTTAATGGAAGAGCTTTCCCAATACAAACTACAGAAAGAAATGGTGGCATTCACACTCTTCAAATTGTCATTTTAATCCCCGGATCAACAGGGACAGAAATTTATAGATTAGCACATATAAAGACTTTCACAGTTCTTATAGCACAAAACCACACAAAAACACAGTGAGTTACTGATAGAGGTTGCAATTGGATTTCAAATTTATTAGAGCAATGCATCTGCTAAAGCTCTTTGAGCTATATTACCATGCAATATCTGCAACCCCTCACCGTCCATATATGATAGACATGACCCACCCTGTATTCAGAAAATGGCTTTGAAACATCTTGTGTCCAAAATTAATTTCATGGAATCAAAGTTTGCTCCCAGTCAGCAATAATTGTACTCTTATCTGATGGTGCAGCACAAGTGTCCAACTGTCTTGAATATCGATATTATTAACAAACAAATAATTCCTTGATTAATAAGCTCTAGGACTTAGGAAACATTAGAAGGACTGCCTGGATTTCCCAATTTCCACTTGAATCACTAATAGCAAGCACTGAACTGATTCAATGCAGTCAAATACTTCAAATGCTGTAGCTTCTGGATGACAGGATGTTCAAGTGAACAGGCAGCATAAAATGGTGAGAACTACATATTGTTCTTCAAATTTTTCTTCATATGCAAAGAAGATGATGAGATGATTTATCTATCCAATAGATTAGTAATGGAACGCAATTGTATGAATTTAATGATAAAACATATTCTACCCTTTCAAATGATTTCTGGTTAAGTATGATTGGTACTGATGCTTCGATTTCTTTATATATTATCTCCATTTCTGTCTTTAATGAAAGGCATGCTGTGAGTTCTTTAGATTCTTCCTTTTTTTTCAAGGATTTAGGTGTTGGTAGTTTAGAATGTTGGTAGATCTTTTTATTCCACATTAGAATAGAAAGGTTCTTTTGAAATAATTTTGGTAGACGAAGTACTAGATGTTGGCGACTAACTATTATTGATTTAATTTTTTTTTTGAAAATAACTATTATAGTTTTAATTATTTATGAATTGTGAAAAGTTGTATTTATTCACCAAGAGTTTCTTAAGAAAAGACATATTTACATCATATAAAGAACTTTTCTATTGAATCATTTTCACTGCTCTTGTTTGGAAAGTTTTGAGGCTTTTTTATGTTCTAATGGCATAATAAAATTATTAACCTTTAAGAAAGCGTTCTACATGCCTTAAAGCCAATTTCTTCTTGTTTCTTTAATTACAATTTTCTAACAGTAGGACTTTAGAATATTTCACTGGTCCCTGGGAGCTATTGCCT